TTTTTTTTTTGTCCAAGTCATGGAAGATGAGGGATTTTTGTTTGTCAACTCCATTCAGTACTCGCTCGCTGTGTTCTGTGTGCACAGACAGCTGCGAGCCCTGAACTGAGTTTCTCTCAGCGTCTTTCTTGCGCCTGAATGGGCAAATACATTCAAAAGTATAAAAATACCCATCTTGGCAAGTAACTTTGTAGCTTTAACAATGATTAATCTATATTTAATTTTTACAGTGGAGTACATGCACCCATTCGACTGGCCATTTTTTGTTTTATTTTAGAGCATCTTCTGTTCCGTGCTTGCACACGAACTGCACTGCAATCATTTTCCCAAATGCCATTTGTGTGGAAATATTACGTTATGTAATAATACGTCTGTAAACGGCCATTAACAGAGGCCAGAGATGCTGAAGATGGACGCAAAGAGGAGAAAATACCATAGCAGGCAGAACAAGATCACTGTTCACGATGCGCAAAATATAGGAATCCTAAATATTGAATTTTATATGAATGTGTTTCTGAGGGGAACTGGCTGTATTCAGAAAAGTTTACATGGCGTTTTCTTTTCATCTTGCCTCTGTATAATGCATTTAAATGAGTGTTATTTGCAGCTGCTGTTTTTACAGTGGTAACCAAGGAAACGCTGTATTACTGCTTTTCTGTAAGTGCCACCTGCTGTCAGAGAGTGATACTGCGTCTCATTCAGCCCATCTGCTGTTTCTGTTTCACGTAGCATAATTTCACAAAGCTAAAGTCACACCATTCTGTTTTTACTTCATATTTTGAAATTATGCAGTCTAATATAAATCAAATATTGCACTTTTTTTTATTGATTCATGATTAAAATTCAGTGGTAGCCTTGCCACTAATTTCAAATGGCAATGAAAATCAAGGTGCAACACCGAGTGAAGAATATGCAAATTTTATTTTATAAGTAATTATTCAATTTCTGTACCTGAACACCTACAAACATAAAAAATTAAGCAAAATTTCATTTCTATCTTTGTGCTATATATTTAATTTTGCTATTACTTGCAATTTGTTCATTTGTTCTTATTCACTGGCTGTCACTTATCTTTAATAATGTTTGAACTTTGTTAGTTAGGCTAGTGTTTTTTGCTGTGGTATTAAAATTGAAATCGAGAATTTTAAAATTTTATTGGTATCTAAAATATTGGTGTCATATAAGTTTATGTATTAGAATACAAGGTAACATAGATAAAACTAAATTGATAACAGCAACTACTTTATTTTATTTATTTATTTAGTTATTTAGTTTTTTTGTGGCAAGGCTAGTGAAAATATTAACAGGGCAAGTAATAATTTGAACCACTGAAAAAATCCTTAGCGTTGAGCCCTGGGCTATTTTTTCAGTGCCATTTTATTCCCTTCCCGCTCGTCAACTGGCAATCACTTAAGTCAAATGCAGTCACCAGGCTGTAGCGGTTAACTAAGGCAAATATGCCAGAAAATGTACATTTTTAGGTGCTTTGGCTACAAAATGACCACTTCAAAGACTGAGTTAAAAAAAAAAAAAAGTATAAAAAATATCAAAGTGCATTTAACGGGTAAAAGCAAAAAAAGTGCTCAGCATAACAGTGGCCTGTTTTTCCGTTCATTATAAGTAATGGAAATTCAGCTTTTTAGTCAGGGAAAGTCAGGGAATTTGACAAATGTGACCCTGGAGCACAAAAGCAGTGTTAAGTCGCTGGGGTATATTTGTAGCAATAGCCAACAATACATTGTATGGGTCAAAATTATCCATTTTTTTTAATGCCAAAAATCATTAGGATATTAAGTAACTTACGTAAAAACGAGGGAACGAATAGAGCCCTGCATGGTCCTGGCCCTTGTCCAACAGCTTGTGAGAATTCTCGGCCCGAGTCCGACTGGATACCGTGACTTTTTCTCTCTCTCTCTTCCCCATTACACAGCTAGTAAAATAGTTCAATTTTGGTTTTTAATGGCAAACAAATAATTCAAATATCCGCTTTTTTGGGCCGCTGTGCCAAAATTGTGTTTGCATTCAGTAGCCTATACGGCAGCATTTTTGTGCCAGGTTTAAAAATAACTAAATAAATATTAACGTCATAATATTTTAAGAATAAAGTCAAAATTATGATAATAAAATCATGTTATATTATCATGTGGTTAATGTGAAAATTCCACCTATAGGCTACTCCTCCAAAAAAAAAAAGTCTGTGGCATCCGTCATTCTTTTGACTTTTTAAAAAGATTTGATTGATCGATTCATGATACATTCGTTTGTATTAAATTGTTCTGATTTTTTTCAACATGCATTCAAATATACATTTTTAGTTCGTGCTGCAAATATTAAAGAGGAAAATATCATTGATTCATATGCAGCTTGAACTGAGGCGATTTATCTCACTAAAAAAAAAAAAGTCTGTGGCATCCGTCATTCTTCACATTTAACATAAAAACAGCAATAAAATGCAGACTTATTGACGTTTTTTTAAACCCTGATTGATCGATTTCATGAGACATTCGTTTGTATTAAATTGTTCTGATTTTTTTCATGCATTCAAATATTCATGTTTATTTCGTGCTGCAAATTTTAAAGAGGAAAATATCATTGATTCATATGCCGCTTGAACTGAGGCGAATTATCTCACTACAAATTAAAGAGCGTAAAAATACATTTATTGTTTGTATTTTATCATAAAACTGACAGAAGGCTGAGACTTTGTATTAACAAAGCACAAAGTTGCGATTATTGAGTGGCTTGCGTGCTACAAATAATGGACTTGACAACTTTAAATATCATTTCCAAGCATTTAGCCTATACCATAAAACAGCTTGTGAATAGTCACGATTCACGTAACGTTATTTACTTCAGAAAAATCAACAATAGGGTCTAAGTTAAGTTAACCGAGTTGGAGCCCATAACGTTTGGGGAGCCATACACATTTTTTGCATATGGGCCCGGGGCTGACTCGCTACGCCACTTGTCCTATCCGAACAAACCATACATCAATGGAAAGCTTATTTATTCAGCTTTCAGATGATGTATAAAACTCAACTTTGAAAAATTGACCCTTAAGACCACAGGGTCACATTTGGCTTAGAGTGGGAACCCTGGTGCTCACGTGACATCATGAGTGTGTGTGAGTGAGTGTGTCAAGTCAAGTCACCTTTATTTATATAGCGCTTTTAACAATACAGATTGTATCAAAGCAGCTTTACAGTATTAAAGAAAAGGAACCAAAACTCTCGAAGGAACCAAAACTCCATCGTTCTTCTCTGGCCAGACGAATCCAGCAGTTTAATTGCAGGCTGCAACACAGGTCAGATTGTGCAGAGGACTGGTCTGGTTCCTGTGGTCTTGTCCCGATGGCCGTCTAGGAGACTGTTGGTGTGTGTGTGTGTGTGTGTGTGTGTTTGTTAGTGTGTGTGTGTGTGTGTGTGTGTGTGTGTGGTTTGTTCGTTTTGTGAGTGAGTGTGTGTGTGTGTGTGTGTGTGTGTTAAAAGTGGATAAAAACTGTTTCTCACTTCCTGCATCTGCAGCACGTCAGCAAAACGGCGATCATCATTTTTGTAGGATTTCTGAGTTTCTGCATTCATAAACAGCCATAATAAATAATCTTTATTGTCATAAAAATCAATTTACATGAGGAGGGGAATCAGATGAACTCCGTGATATGTCAATAATCTACCCAGAATTCAAAGCGCAGCTGTAAACTGAGCAGATTTAGTGTGTCTGTCGCTGTAGACGTCGTGTTTTGACTCTCGTGTGAGGATTTGTGCTGATAAATGGCTCACCGCTCGTGCTGCAGGCGTGCGATTGTGAAACAGGCTTCACTGTTTTACACCAGCTCAAAGGGCTCCTGCTGCTCACCTTAGTCTCCTCTCTGCGTTCTCTCTGCTGCTATTGGTTGGTTCTGTAAATGGGCGGGACCTTCGAAACCTCTCAATCAATGATATTCTCTGATGGTTTGTGTTGTTGATGCCGTCGGTGTGTTTCTGGGATTCTCTCAGTGTTAAACATGTTTGTGTTTGAGTAATATAGTGCTTCGTGTGACTGTCACGAGCTTCTGCCTGTAATGCAACATTCCATGTTTTCATTTTTTAAGAATATTTTTCTACTGATTTTGTGCACATAAAGCAGTAACTCTGATGTACTATGTTTTTAATGCTCTGTAAATACAGTTCACATTTGTGTGAAAATGCGCATTAAAGATTTCTGTCCATTATGTTCACTGGTTACTTTAGTGATTTGTTGTTCTGTCTGTAATCGGAGTCTGTCCTGTTTCTGGCTTTACTCTGAGATTTGGTCCACATCAAACAAACTTTATTCTTACATATCTCTCTATATAAATATTTTTGTGGTAAAATAAAAAAGAAAAGAAAAGTGAAGTAGTTTAATGGCAGCATTTGAAGACCAAATTTAGAGCAGATTTTTTCAAAGAAGATGTATTATTTCATTTATATATATATATACACATCAATTTCTCTTTCTCTCATACCCCCCGTCAGGTTGGCCGGGGTGTCTCCCCTATGCAATTATACCTCATTTGAATATCATGCAATTACTGTAACAGCTCCTATAAAACTCCAGGTTGTGGTAATCTACCACCCTCCTGGCCAAATTCTAGCCACCTTCCTAGAGGAGCTGGATGGGCTGATGTCCTCATTCCCGGAGGATAGCAGTCCATTTTAGTCTTTGGCGACTTCAACATTCATCTGGACAAGCCTTATGCTACAGACTTCCATTCACTCCTTGCTTCATTTGATCTCAAACGACTTACCACTACAAGCACACACAAATCAGGCAACCAACTTGACTTAATTTACACACGCAACGGTGTTGCAGACAACATTCTGGTAAAAACCCCACATATCTCTGATCATTTCTTCATTACATTTAAACTACATTTTGTTACCTGTGTGCCACCAACCCCTATACCGGTTACTTTTAGACGAAACCTGTGTTCCCTTTCCCTCTCTTCCCTCACCCTCTCATCTCTCATTGCTGGATGTGAATGCAGCAACTGACACTTCATGCTCTACTTCAGGGTTCCTCAATAGGCGGCCCACGGGCCACTTTTTTTTGCTGAAAAGCCATTAAATAGGCAACTCTATTTCAAACACAAATATAGTTTAGATGACTTTTTTAACTTTAGAAAACATTTTGCATTTCAAATAAAGGTACTCAAATAAATGTCAATAAACAGTACGTCCTCATTATGACAATGTAACCCATACTTTGTTTGCCTGACTGGAGTGAGATTTGAATGACATGGGTTGCCACTGAATAAATGACACCCCTATTTGAGGTTTTAATGATCCAACCATTCATTTTTTATTTCATTTTAATAATGTAAAATACCTCAGCCTAATGCTGTAGTAGATGCACTTAGTAGAAACCATGTCTATCAACTTTTCCAATATGGAATGCCAAACCTGACAAAATTAGAAATAAATACACAAATAAATATACCATGAAATGTAAAAATGCAAAACTAATTTATACCTTTATTTCCTTATTTATGTATATTTGTTTTCACATTTCCACTTTTATTTATTTCCACATTGAAGTATTGATTTACATATTCATTCATATTTCTACATTTATTTATTTATACATTTCTTAGTCCTTAGGGCAGGGTTCCTCAATAGGCGGCCCACAGGCCACATCCGGCCCGTGAGAGAAAAAAGTTTGGCCCACGCTAATTTCAAATAATGTGGCATGAAAATTCAAACATAGCATCAGAAAGCCACATTAACTTACATCGTGTCTACACCGGACGCCACGCAATAAAATACAAGAACTGGTTATAATCAGTGATGCTGTCTTGCGACACGACAAATCCCCGACAGTAAACTGCTGACTCTTCAAATGATTTGCAATGCTTTGTCGCATCCAGTGTAGATACAATGTCACAGCAAAAACATGGCGAGTGTGTAGAAAAGGAAAGTGGACACAGAAAATAGATGATTAAAATGTGAATGGACTGAACAGTTTTGAGTGAGTAAGTGACTGATATCTTTATGAAATTCACGTGTTGGTTCGCAGTGAGTTCACAGTTTTAACGTACAAGTTTGCTTTAATTTTATTTTCAAGATCTGAGGTAAAATATCTATTATTGCTTTCACTATGGCTATAAAGATAACGCAAAATAATATTCAAACTCACATTAGACACTTTTAACATTGAATAAAGCACATAATCATTACC